GAATGACCCCGGAAGCGTCCCAGAAAGAGAGGAGACATCAGAGCCTAAAGGAAACAGCTGGACTCTCAACAACCTGTCAGAAGAGCTGCCACTGAAAAATAAGGATTATCACAGACCCAAGCAGAAAAACGGGGGTGACAGCCCCACACCGAGAAAACACCCAACCTAGCAAATAGGGCCAGGCCCAAGTGGTCAGTTTTCATAGCACGTACAGTAAAAAGGCTGGGACTTTAAAGAAAAGGTTGTTCTGTGATGCTTATTTCTTTAAAAGGTGATGACTTACCTATCAGTAGTAAAATTCAGACACTCAGGTCATTATTCCCATTTCTTTGGCCTGGGTTAAGTCCCCTTTTCCCTACGTTCACATGGCATGAAGTCTCAGTCCTAATCACTGAGGCTTCGGACAACTTCCCAGTCCACAAGGAAAACGTCCAGCCTATAATCCTCCCTTGCACAGCGTCAGTACTGAGGGTGCCTGGACAGGGCGTGGTCCCACGAGAGTGTAGGGTACTGGCCTGTTTAGGTAACAAGACTCCACCACTGTGCATCTGCCTGCCACAAGGAATCCAGTTTCTCTCTTTTTTTTTTTGAGACAGAGTCTCACTCAGACGCCCTCAGTGGAGTGCCGTGGGGTCTTCTCTTGCCTCAGCTTCCAAAGTACCTGGGACTACAGGCGCCTGCCACAACACCTGTGTATTTTTTGTTGCAGGTGTCTTTGCTGTCTAGCTGGCCAGGCTGGGTTCAAACCTTCCAGCCTCGGTGTATGTGGCTGGCACCGTAACCACTGTGCTACCAGTGCTGAGCCTTTTTTTTTTATCTTGAGACAGAGTCTCTCTTTGTCACCCTTGGTAGAGTGCCATAACGCCAAAGCTCACAACCTCAAACTCTTGGGCTCAAATGATTCTCTAGCCTCAGCCTCCTGAGTAACTGGGAGTACAGGCGCCCATCACAATGCCCCGCTATTTCTTTTAGAGACAAGGTCTCACTCTGGCTCAGGCTCATCTCGAACCTGTGAACTCAGGCAATCCACCCACCTCGGCCTCCCAGAGTACTAGGTACGGGCGTGAGCCACTGCAACCAGCCCAGGAATCTAGTTTCTTCTGAATCACAGCCCCACTGTTAACCTGGAGCCACTGGAAAGTTCCACCCAGCAATCTGAGCAGTGACTCACGGAAGGGCAAAGGACCTTTGCTCCAGCTTCTCTCCTTTTGTGGCAGGGGTAGAGCTCGTGAAGCAGGGAGAAGCCTCTGCGTGGCCGAGGCCATCTTGTAGCCTTTCTACTTGCCCCAAGCACTGGAACTGCCCTGTGGTTACCTCCCACTGATAGTAAAACACCATGAAGCAGCGACCTTTTTTCTCTCATCATTTTTCCCCTAGTAGTCTTCCATTTCTACACAGTACCCTTTTATTTAGAAGAGCTTAACAAACACTTTTTAAAAATTAACCTGCATGACCTAATTTAAGTTCTGGAGGCAGTAATCCTAGCAGTCTGGAGGTGGAGCTAGGTAGATTGCTTGAGCTCAGGAGTTCAAGACCAGCCTGAGCAAGAATGAGACCCCATCTCTACTAAAAATAGGAAAAACTGGGCAGTGCCTGTGGCTCAAGAGGAGTAGGGTACCAGCCCCATATGCCAGAGGTGGTGGGTTCAAACACAGCCCTGGCCAAAAACTGCAAAAAAAAAAAAAAGAAAAAAGAAAAGAAAAAGAAAAGAAAAGAAAAAAAGAAAAAACGACCTGGATGTCCTGGCAGGTGCTTATAGTCCCAGCTACTCGGGAGGCTGAGGCAGGATTGCTCAGACCCAAGAATTTGAGGGTGCTGTGAGCTATGATGCCATGGCACTTTACCCAGGGTGACTGAGTGAGACTCTGTCTCCAAAAAATATATATATATATTCTGGAGTGGCTCAGCACCTGTATCTCAGCGGCTAGGGCATCAGCCACATACACTGAGGCTGGCAGGTTCAAACCCAGCCCAGACCTCCCAAATAACCACAATAAAAAAATAGCTAGGTGTTGTGGCCGGCGCCTGTAGTCCTAGCTACTCAGGAGGCTGAGGCAAAAGAATCGCTTCAGCCCAAGAGTTTAAGGTTGCTGTGAGCTGTGATGCCACTACACTCTACCTAGGGCAACATAATGAGACTCTTGTCTCAAAAAAAAAAAAAAATTTCTGGAGGCAAATATCCAGCTTGCTGCGGGGGCTGGAGCAGTAAATACCTCACATCACATCCACAGCCCCTGCTGTTTCAGGGCATTGAGTTCACGTTCCAAAGCATTACAAACCTCCATGGTAGCCTGGAGGGCAAAAGGAATTTATCATTCCAAACTGACTGGAGGTAGGAACTCAGAAGGGGGCTGAGGAAGCAAGACACACACCTGGTTTGATGCTGTAGGTTCTGGAAACACTTAGTACCCAGAGGTGACACGATCTTAGAGATGCTACGTCCCACACAATCACACTTGTCCATGGTGAAATCAGATACAGTTTTATTTATTTAAGAATTGGAAAGAATAGTCAGTATCTGTGAAAGAAAATCCGATTTAAAATATTTAAATAAACATTTCTGTATGTAAAAGAGTAGAATAATTACTCTGTTAAGTTACTCTCCTTGCGATGGGATGGGCAGCCTCCGCTTAGGTTGGCTGGGTCTTCCCGGGGCGTAGGGATGACGCGCCTCCCACCACAACAGAGAGGTTGAGGTCTTCTTACCTTGCCAGACCACTACAAAGCAAACTGCGGTGGGTGATCACAACTACCTAAGGCAGTAAGGAAGTGGAGAGGAGGAACAGCACTGTGCTGTGCCCATCCTGGGGATGACTACCAGAGAGCCAGGGTCAAGACCTCACGGGGCCTGACCAGCTAATACAACCTACTGGTTTGGGAACGTTTTTCCCTGTCCTAACAACCCCCTAGGTTGGTAAATGAATGGGAGGGATTAATGGAGCGTCCTTTTTAGGCTCATGATGCAGTTCATGCCAACTGAGGGACACGGGGTACGCTGTCTTTTGCTCACTGTCCTGCTAAGAGGCTCACCCCGCTGCCTCTTCTGTAAACTGCCACTCTCAGCCGTGGCCGCCTGCAAGTGCTCAAGAAAGGTTTCATTTTATGCTGTTTCAAAGTAGCTTTGCTCTGTACAGTACCCACTTTCCATTTAAGAATCTCCACTTTAAAACCTGCAATGGAAAAAGAAATCTCTTGACAGTTTCTTAAGTTAAGGAAATTGGCAATGTGGCCTTTGCAGCGAACACCCGAAAAGCCTTTACCTCATTAACCTGATTCTCTGCTGTGGGCCCCGACACTGCTAAATTTATAAAGTTAAAAATAATCTCAAGATCATGGTACTAAGGGGAAGTCAATCACTTGCCAAATCCTGCCCTTAAGTAGTTCATCTTTTATCCCTAAGTAATTGCTGACTTCTGCCCTGGGATCGTAAGAAGGGTGGGAATGTTCTCCTACTACCCCCACTCCAGAATTACTCTTTAAAGCAGAGCAGAACACAATGTCAAGTTCTCTCTCTCCCCCCAGTGTGAGGCAGCATTCAAGTGGGAAACCTAAGGACCAGGTTCCTTCCAGATGGTGAGCCTGGCACAAAGATAAGCCTTCTAGCCGCTGGCAGGTAAAGGATGGTATCAAATGACAACGCCCTCTTACCGTCCACAAGGCCAGGGGATACCACTAGCTGCTCTCTACCTACCAAAAAGATAACTTGGCCATGCAGAGTGGCTCACACCTGCAAACCCAGCACTTTGGGAGACTGAGATGGATCACTTGAGTCCAGGAGTTTGAGACCAGCCTGCAATAGCGAGACCCTGTCTCTACAAAAATAAAAAAATATTAGTCACCACGTGCCTACAGTCCCAGCTACTCATGAAGCTGAGGCAGGATGACCTCTTGAGCCCAGGAGTTTGAGGCTGAAGCCAGCTGTGATGATACCAGTGCACTCCAGTCCCAGCAACAGAGCAAGACCCTGTCCCCCTGCACATACACAAAAGACAACTTCATAGCCCCTGCTGGGAGTAGAGGGTAGACCCAATCCTGCTTAGATGAGCGAAAAAGAGCTGCCAGCTCAACCACACCTTCCCCAGTCTGCAGTCCTAGGCGGTGGAGTTTGCTGTGCCACGTGGCCTGGAGAACAAGCTCAGAGCTGACCCAGCCCAAGTGCCCAAACAGAAAGAGTCCCACTGGGACCGCACACTCCAGAGAAATTCTGCCAGTGGCACCACCTTAGCCAGATGATTGGGGGCTGCCAGACAAATCTGTCTGGTTCTCAAATGGACGAGTGTTACATCAGCCATCAATAAACCCGTAAGCCTCTTTGGTATATATAAGAACAAAAAAATTAATTAAGCCATGAAATCTATAAGTAAGTCTCACATCTGAGTTGGAAGAATGCTCTCTTTAAACATACATTTTAGGTATCTGGCACAGTTAACCAAATGTCTGCCCATCTTTGTGTAGGTTTTATATTGTACAGATTTCACTGAGATCTCTCTCATCTGAGTATTAAAGATGTTTGACATTGTTCTTCTAAGTCCTCACAACACCCCTGTGAGGTAGGTGGTATCAACCCCATTCTACAGATGGGGAGGTCTAGGCACGTTAAGGTTTCGTGGCTCCTCACAAGCCGCGTGGCGGGTGGCAGAGCAGTGTTCTGGCCATGTGCCGACACTGCCTTCACATTCACGCTTCATTAGTGCCACCGCAAAACTGCACGAAGGGATCTCACACTGAGGCCAAGTTCCTGTCTAGTCCAGAATTAAGCAAGGGTCTCACTGCTTAAAGCTCCTATGTTTGACTCTTGAAGCCAACTACTCTCTTCAAAACAAAGACCGACTGAATCTCGTTGGGATTATTTGCTCTATTTAAGACTATTTTCAGAGTTGATTTGCCTGGCTCTGCAGTTGTGTAAGCTCAACCCCTTTAAAAAAAAATTTGAAATATGGCAGCGCCTGTGGCTCAGTGAGTAGGACGCCGGCCCCATATACTGAGGGTGGCGGGTTTAAACCCAGCCCAGCCAAACTGCAACAACAACAACAAAAAAGTTTGAAATAATATTAGGGACAATGTAATTTTGAGAACAGAACATAGAAAATAATAGTTAATAGATTTACATTGAAACACCAAAATATAAGCTATGGTGAAATGAGAATAAAATCCCAAATAAATGGACAGCAGTATTTCTCAATGTTTAACAACGCCTTGCACAGAGCAGGCATTCAGTAAGCACATCTTGGATCAGGGAAAAATGAGACTTATTGACTCCCCTGTCACTGATGACATGTCGAGAACAGGAGGAGCCAAGGGCCCTGGGAAAACCCACAGGGGCCCACAGTCCCCTTGGCCTGGGGTGCTGTGGTCACACAAAGCCACGGTTGGCCAGACTGTCTGGAGGTGTCTATCCATGCTAACTTGCTCCCAAAGAAAAGCTGGAGCTAGAAATACCAAGTGAGCCCCCTTTGAATGCATACTGCTAGTTATAAACAATACATATGTAACTGCAATTAAATAGATTTAGTGCCAAAGCATCCCATAGGGAAGTATCTTTGAAACTGTATAGATGTTCATGCACTGAGGACAGAAATAAAGAGGGTTAAAGCTGCGCCGTTTGTGTTTTGCAGTGAGATGAAAGGTTGCAGGTGTGTCTTTAACGCTGACCCCTCTCCGCTGTCGAGGCGTTATTGGAAGCAGAGCCCCCCTGTCCCCGGGAGTCCTGGTAATATCTTACACACACCGTGGCCTCGTGGGGCAGTGGAGCGTGGCCTTGGTTCTCCCCAGGTCACTTTGAAGGGGCACTGCTGAATATTGCTGTGATCTCCTTCTTACTCATCTTTCATCTATGTCCTGCCTGGATTCAGCACAAGAATAGATTGTTCCAGTGGGTCCTTTGGTCCTAAGGCCTTCTGACCATTTGGTCTTAAGTAACATTCCAGAGGAGTTTAATTAGTGACATATAAAATGATTAAGAAAATGCACTCTGCAGTAGTTGACTGGAAGCAGTTTTGTCCTGGGCTACACAGGGTCACCTGCCACCTGTCAGAGCGCCACCTTGACTCCCTTGATGAAAGGTAGCCCTGTGGGCACCCTCTTCTTATACTCCAGGTACTCCTCGCCAAAAAAGTGAATCAGTGAGATTTCCTCTTCTTCTATCCGATCTCGGAAGAACCGCCACACTGTGAGGGCATAGCCGACACCACAGACAGGGTTACACAGCATCACCTGACGGAGGAACACCAGGCTGGTCAGGGTCACAGAGTCACAGTGCGATGACGCCATGCACTCTGGCAAGAATCTGTTTCTAGGCTCGGCGCCTATAGCTCAACCGGCTAAGGCGCCAGCCACGTACACCTAAGGTGGCGGGTTCGAATCCCCAGCCCGGACCCGCCAAACAACAATGACGGCTGCAACCAAAAAATAGCCAGGCGTTGTGGCGGGCGCCTGTGGTCCCAGCTACTTGGGAGGCGGAGGCAGGAGACTCGCTTGAGCCCAGGAGTTGGAGGTTGCTGTGAGCTGGGATGCCACAGCACTCTACCCAGGGGGACAGCTTGAGGCTCTGTCTCAGAAAAAAAAAAAAAAAAAAAAAAAAAAAAAAGAATCTGTTTCTAACACCCAGAGGATTTCCTTGCCCAGGGCCCAAGAGACTCTTAAAATAGGAGCTAGGTGCAATGGCTCACAACTGTAATCCAACACTTTGGAAGACTGAGGTGGGAGGACTGCTTGAGGCTAGGAGTTCAAGACCAGCCTGGGCAACATAGTGAGAACATGTCTCCACCAAAAATTTTAAAAAATTAGCTGGGTATAGTGGTGCACGCCTGTAGTCCCAGCTACTCAGGAGGCTAAAGTGGGAGGATTGTTTGAGGCCAGGAGTTTGAGACTGCAGTGAGCTATGATTGTGCCACTGCACTCCAGCCTAGACGACAGAGTGAGACCCTGTCTCAAAAAACAAAATTGTTATGGTTTGGGGGAGCCAGGGTGTCATTAACCAAAATACCATTACTTTCACAGAGAACCAAACTCATCACTATAGCCTTTTTCCCACGTCAAATGGGTAATGTGCCAGCAATGTCTGAGGAGGCATGTCTCACGTGTGCTTGTGAACACTCAGTTATCACACTTACGAACTACAAAAAGATCATTCTAGCCTTTCTCCATACATTTTCTGCTGTTCCTCTTATGTGAGAGATACCTAAAAAGTACAAAGACAGGCCGCACACAGCAGCTCACACCTGTAATGCTAGCACTTTGGGAGGCTGAGGTGAGAGGATTGCTTGAGGCCTGGAGTAAAGTCCAGCCTGAGCAAGAGCAAGACCCAGTCTCTATAAGAAATAGAAAAATTAGCCAGGTGTAGTCATGAAGGCCTGTAGTTCTATACTTAGGAGGCTGAGGCAGGAGGATCACTTGAGCCCAGGAGTTTGAGGTTGCACTGAGCTGTGACGATGCCACTGCACTCTGGCCTGGGCAAGAGAGTGAGATTTGATCTCAAAAATAAAACTAGAAAGTACAAGGTCAGGCCAACCTCTTGGATTTCAACCCTCACATCAGGGTGACAAAATGGCCTCCCACCCCCAAGTGTGACTCCCTGATGTAGGGTCTCGTTCCCACACATGCTGCTTTCCTGTCCAGGAGGCACCCACACTCCACAGATGCCCTGGTCCCCTTCCTTGCCCCCTCGTACCCACCACCTTCTCCTTAGTACTAGACAGCAAACAGAGCTTCTAACTCTTTTTAAAAAACACCTCTTTTACCCAGGTGCTCAGAAAGTACCATGCCTGAACCCCACATCCTGGGCCTGGCTTTTAAAGCTAGGAAAGGGAGGGCCTCACCTGCCCCTGCCACCTGCCACCTGCCACCTCATCCATCCTCTTTGCCTCTTTCTTCACTCATGCAATTCCCTCGCTTCTAAGATCGTTTTCCTCATTGATCCACAGCCAAACAATCCTTCAAGGCCAGAAGCAGGGGTCTTCAAACTTTTTTTTTTTTTTTTTGGTTGCAGCCATTATTGTTGTTTGGCGGGCCCAGGCTGGGGATTCAAACCCGCCACCTTAAGTGTATGTGGCTGGCGCCTTAGCCACTTGAGCCACAGGCACCGAGCCCTCAAACTTTTTAAACAAGGGGCCAGTTCACTGTCCCTCAGACCATTGGAGGGCCAGACTGCATGCCCTGGGATGAGTCAGCTACTAAGCAGGACCGGCGGCAGCAGCAAAAACACGTGGAAGACCGGATAAATGTCCTAGGCGGGCTGCATGTGGTAGTTTGAGGACGCCTGGCCAAAAGCATGCCCTACCTCTTCAGGAAACCACTGACCTACTCCTGCCCACCCAGGCTTTGTGACTGCTCCCCTATGAACGTGTTGTCTTCCCTAAGCACACACTTCCACCTGGAGAGCCACGCACACACCCCGATTTCTTGCCACTTCTCTTCACTGTGTTTTGAGCTAACTGTTCCCCGAGCCGTGCTAAGCCCTTTATAAACATTAAACAGCCCAACTCTCACAGCAAACTTTCAAGGTGATGGCATCACCCCTCAACACTATTTATTTTTAGAGTCAAGGACTTGTTTATACTACCCAGGCTGGACTTGAACTCCTGGCCTCAAGCAATTCTTCCACCTGGGAGTGAAGGACAGAACCACAAGTGGTCTGATGGGGAGTGCAAAACCTGCACCCTCACACCTGACAGACGTGTGTAGCTCCCTGGGCGTCTCCTGTGGTGGTATTTCTCAGCCACAGGCTACAACTGTTACTGAGGCATGAAATTGAGGTAGTACAGGATTACAAATAAAAGACAGAAAACAGTGTTTTGGCTCAGAGCCTATAGCTCAAGCAGCCAGGGCGCCAGCCACATACAATGGAGCTGGCGGGTTTGAATCCAGACCGGGCCTGCCAAACAACAACAACTACAACCAGAAAATAGCTGGGTGTTGTGGCAGGCACCTGTAGTCCCAGCTCCTTGGGAGGCTGAGGCAAGAGAATCGCTTAAGCCCAAGAGTTTGAGGTTGCTGTGAGCTGTGATGCCCCGGCACTCTACCCAGGGTGACAGCTTGAGACTCTGTCTCAAAAAAAGAAAAGAAAATAGTGTTTCATACATAGTAGTAATGAGCAGTGTTCCAGAAAAGACAGAGTTATACACACACATGTGCTGAGACATGTCAAAAGGTATGAAAACTGCCTTAGTCCCAAGGTATATAGTAAGCAAGCATTTATGCCAAATTAGACTATTCAACTAGGATTAATTTGTTCCCACAGAATGTGATTGTTAATATGGGAGTTTTGGCCAGGCATGGTGGCTCACACCTATAATCCTAGGACTCTGGGAGGTTGAGGCAGAAGGATTGCCTGAGCTCAGGAGTTCAAGACCAGCCTGAGCAAGAGCGAGACCACATCTCTAAAAACAGCCAGGCATTGTAACAGGTACCTGTAGTCCCAGCTACTTAGGAGACTAAGAAGATTGCTTGAGCCCAAGAGTTTGAGGTTGCTGTGAGCTATGACACCACAGTACTGTACCGAAGGTGACAAAGTGAGACTCTGTCTCAAAAAAAATTTAAAAAAAGTTGGAGTTTTACATGTTTCAGAAATATAAATTTAAAAATATATCTATGTGATAGTCTGCCCCAACTATACTGCTAGGGATCACACATTGCTGATGAAACGCATGGGAGCCATGATGGGATAAATTTTCCAAGCTCTACTCACATTCTCTGGCCAAGTGTTCCTAGGTCCAAGGATGCAGAATTGAGGCCGGGTGCAGTGGCTCACACCTATAATCCTAGCACTATGGGAGGCTGAGGTGGGTAGACTGCTTAAGCTCAGAAGTTCAAGACCAGTCTGATCAAGAACAGACCCCATCTTATTATAAGTAGAAAAACTAGCCAGGCACTGTGGTAGGCCTAGCTACTTGGGAGGTTGAGGCAAGAGAATCACTTGAGCCCAAGAGTTTGAGGTTGCTATGAGCTACAATGCCGTGGCACTCTACCCAGAGCAAGAGAATGAAACTAAGTCTTTAAAAAAAAAAAAAAAAAAAAAGAGTATGGAATCAAGACACAGTTGTCAAGAAACAAAGGCTGGATCTGGATCTGTAGCCTGGTATAAAAGAAAGTTCTGTAGCTCATATTAACCTAACACATGACCTCAGTCTCACTAATAACTCTTTGATAAAAATTAGCTACAAGGTCACTCCCTGCCCTAAGTCCTATCTTTGTCTTCAGCCCCACTGAAGAGCTCCAGGTCTAAGTCCCAGCAGTACCCACTAGGGTGCTCCAGAACCTTTTTTTTTTTTTTTTTGAGACAGAGCCTCAAGCTGTCTCCCTGGGTAGAGTGCCATGGCATCACAGCTCACAGCAACCTCCAACTCCTGGGCTCAAGCAAGTCTCCTGCCTCAGCCTCCCGAGCAGCTGGGACCACAGGCACCCGCCACAACACCTGGCCATTTTTTGGTTGCAGCTGTCATTGTTTGGCGGGCCCAGGCTGGATTTGAACCCGCCACCTTAGGTGTCTGTGGCTGGCACCTTAGCCACTTGAGCCACAGGCGCCGAGCCCCAGAGCCCTTTTAACTTAAGAGGCAAAGAAGCACAGGAGGTGGGCTAACAGAATCATGAAAAGTTTATGTACCTAGATTTTGGGTACACAGGAAGAACATTAAGGACTAAATTAGTTCTCTTGGCTTTTATTTAGTTATCATTCCAAACATGCCTGGGAGAACATATACCTATTTAAAGCAGACCAACAACCTTGCAAATACATTAGAAACCAGTGAACTATATACTTTGAAATTGTAAATTTTATCTCAATTTTTAAAATGTAAAAAAAAGACTAAAATAAAGGAAACCAGTGTCATACTGGATACTATACCTGAGTTCCAATACTCCAGTAAAACCATCCAACATAAGAAGGATGCCGGAACCAAGCATAAACTCCACTTGTCACCAGAGTGTGGGTATCTGATTTTTCATTCTGCACCACGTGGTTGAAATTGGAGCCAGCTGTAAACATGGCTGCTTTTCTCAGACATTCTCCAAAGACCACCATCAGCAGCCCCGTGACGCTGAGCCAGGTGATCTGCTTCAGTTCTGCAGGAGAGAGACAGCGGTGAAGACACTGGACAGTCATGTTCCCCCCTTGAATCCTTAAAATCAAACTATTTTCCCAAAGATAGAAACATTAAAAAACATGTTTATGGGCAGTGAGCATTTGTCACAGCATTCAAATTTAATGATAAGAAAACGCATTCCCAGAAGTCGTGCTGTTCATCCCTCTAAATTGCCAACAAACCCATTAGTGAAGTCATGGTGAAGAGGTCCTCTCCTCCTAGAGCTGATGGGCTTTCTGCTTGGACACCCCCCCCACCACCACCACACGCTTATTTCCTTCACTAGGGGACAAGTATAGCTATGAGAAGTAGAAAAGGGTCCACGGCTTCCAGCCTGAATCCAGGACATTTTTATTTCATTGGCTGTGGGAAGTTCAATTTTGGAGTAGGTTTCAGATGCTGAAGTTTTTGCCAGTAAACTCATCACATGAAATGTCTCGGGTCACAGAAAATGAACATATCCAAACCTCCTCTGACTATAAAATTAAGATTACAACTATTAAAGGTTGTGACTTGATAGTAGATGGTGCACTATGTCACAGAAGGTTTAGAGCAAAAGGTCAACACGAGAACACGTCCTCAATTCAAAATCCAGAAGCAGAATTAATGAGCAGAGCTCATCCTTTATAAATAGCTTAGTGAGGACAGAGTCTAGGGAAAACTGCTCGGGGAGATTAGACCTGAGAGGTGAACCAATGTCACTGTTCTAAGCCCAAGTGGGAGCCACTCTTCTCCCCTCCGGAGAGGAAAGTAGGGCACACTGACCTGGACAAAAAATATTTTCAAGTGTGAACTCTATCCAAGAAGAAAGAGCAGCTACTGTATACTCCAGACTGTGATTCAGGAGAAAGGAATCCAAGGACAAACTTTTGGGATTGTTGACTGCTGTCACTAAGTATTCAGAATAGTGGAACAATGATAGGGAGCACATGTACCTATTTAAAAACAAAAAGAAAAAGAGGTAAATTGGGGCAAGGGAACCAAGTTAGCCATAGCTACAGATCTGGGTCTCCTGAACTTTCCCTAATTCTATGAGGTCCTATTCTCACCTGCCTGAACATGAACATTGGCACCAATATAGAGCATTTACTCCCTGAGGTTTGCAGAAGTGGGGTTTTTAGGGGACTATGTTTTTGAACGTCACAGGCACAAAATAAATAAATAACCCCACAGGTTAGGGAGACATTATGAGCGCTTCAGTCCTTTTCAAATGACACTATACACAATAAAACACAAAAGAGGGAAGCATCAACATAAAGTAGTGATGTATGTCAAAATTTAACAGAATGGAATAATTCCAGCAAAGAAGGATTAGATGGTTCAAAATATTGATAATAGGAGATGAAGCTTTTTACCTTGAAGCCACTGGTTCATATCCAGGTCAGACTAGAAGGCTCAAGGGACTGAAATCATAGTGTAGGGAAAAATCCTACACTGGCTGTGGGGATGCGCTAGATGTGACCTAATAGAAATTAGAGATGAAAAAGGCCTATGAAGAGAAGCCAGAGCCTTGCCCCTTCCCGCCACCGAGGACCTGTACCCCTTCCAGGAAGGGCTTGTCACATTACTGAATGCTATCACTGCAGCTGTGGATGAGGGCACCTCTGTGGAGGATGCCAGGGAGACCTGTTTCTGCCTGAAACAGAATCATGCAATAGGCACAAGATCATGAGAGCAGAAGTGTGGGAATCCAGATGGAAGCCAAAGACTTCATTTCCATAGAACTCTCAACAGCCTTCTGCCAGTCAGAGATGAGACACGGGGGGTGAGGAAATGCTACGCTGCTGACCCTTGGATCTGTCCACCCTCACCTCAAAACCATTAATCATTATTCCCCAAGTCCTTCTTACCAGCCAAAGTGATTCCAAGAAGACTGGCTAAAACTTAGCAGCATACCGCAGCCAAACACAAAGCCAAGGAAACAAGCCCGGATGGCTATCTGAAACGGACCCAAAAGAAGCTCTGTCACCCGCCATTCTCAGAGCATCAGTCTAGGCTGCGGACCGTCCTGGGATAGGCAGGCCGCTGGCAGGCAGACAAGAGACAATTTGCTCAGAGTTTAGGAGGGGCTGCCTGGGTTCAAATTCTGTACCCAACCCTCTCTAGCTGTGTGGCCTTGTTACTTAACCTCTCTGGACTTCAGGGTCCCCATCTACAGTACCTACCTTTTAGGACTGCATAAGGAGTAGCCGTGTAGAGCAGTTAAGAGTAACTTCTACGTAAATTTTAGCTGCTATTATTACTATTTATTACTCAGGGGCGTGGGGAAATGGCTTAAACCTTGTTTATTGACAGGATTCTCCCAACTCCCACAGATCACCCAGGACTCTGCGCCCAGCCCCCTTCATGTCACTGCGGGGCCTTTGACCTCAGACTTGGCAGCAGGTAGGTCTCCACACCTCAAATTACATAAAAGAAGTGGTAGGCTCACCCAATCCCCACCCCACGCGCATCTGCCGCAGCTGGGAACAGCGCGAACTGCAATTTAACACCCACTCTGCCGGGTGGAGGGCGCCGGCGTCGGGAGAAGCAGGGTCCCCTCCTGCGACCTGAACTCGCGGCTGAAGAACAGCCCGTGGGAGGCCGCCCCTGACCCGGAAAAGGACGGTGCCCCCGCCCGGCCCCTGCCCGGCCTGCACCTGGTAGCGCGGCGGCCGGTACAGCAGCAGCAGCAGCGCGTTGAGCCCCGCCACGTACAGCGCCAGCCCGGTGCGGCCCTGCAGGCCGGCGCGCGTCAGCAGCGGCAGCGCCAACACCGAGGCGCCCAGCAGGAAGGTGGCGAGGCTGAGGCGCGCCTCGGAGCCCGGCGGAACCCGCGCCGCGCAGCCCGCCATGGCGCAGGGCGGCGGACGAGCGGGCCGCGCCGGCTGTAGCCCAGGGAAACCCGCCGGCCGCGCCTGCGCACTGCACTGTTGACGCCGGCTCGGTAAGGGCAGCTGCCAAGACCCGCGCCGCCCGCGAGTTCTCGCGAGAACGCCGGCCCGCGGGGCAGGTGGCCCGAATTTGGCGGGAACGCCCCGCCCCACTGGCCCCGCCCCCCGGCTCAGCAGGCCCCTTTGGGAACCGCCCCCCCCACACCCAGCTAAAGCCCGAGGTGTGTGGGGACTCAAGGAGTCGTCACCTGATTCTGCCAAAAGTTACCTCCACATTCCAGAAGTCTCCTATCCCAAAAAACAATTTCAAACTTGAAACAACCTCTCCCTCGGCCAGCCCCGCGTTTTCCCCCTTAAATCAGACACCCTGCGGCGCCCACCCTGACAGTGCTGGGGATCCACCTGTCATCTCTCAACGGAGACCCTGAGCGCCCCCTGCGTGTCCAGGCTGTGCCAGGCGCGGAACCCGGTCCTGGGAATCAGCCTAAAAACCCAACGTGGGCATCCAAGCCATGGGACCACCGCCGGGTTAAATTCCTGCCCTGGGAAAATGTTGGGTGGTGGTGAGGGTACATCGCGTGTTCTAAAAAGCGGAATACGAAACTTTATAGTCTGATCCTGACTTCTCTTGGAGGGGAAAGTCCATTTATGAGCCTGGGCAAATGATGGAAATGGAAACCAAAATGATTTAACAGCGATTATCTCTAGGGCGTAGAATTCTAGGCAGTTTTTATTGTCTTCATATGTTTTTGTATATCCAACATTGCATATACATTAGTTTTTTGGTTTGGGGTTTTTTTTCTTTTCTTTTCTTTTTTTTTTTTTTGAGACAGAGCCTCAAGCTGTCCCCAGAGTGCTGTGATATCACAGCTCACAGCAACCTCCAACTCCTGGGCTCAAGCGAGTCTCCTGCCTCAGCCTCCCAAGTAGCTGGGACCGCAGGTGCCTGGCACAATGCCTGGCTATCTCTTGGTTGCAGATGTCATTGTTGTTTGGTGGTCCGGGCTGGATTCGAACCCGCCACCTTAGGTGTATGTAGCTGGCACCGTAGCCACTTGAGCCACAGGCTCCAAGCCAACTTAGGCAATTCTTTTGCCTCACGGTTTCCTGAGTAACTGGGACTACAGGCGCCCTCCACAATGCCCAGCTATTTTTGTTGTTGTTGTAGTTGTTGCAGTTTGGCCAGGGCGGCGTTCGAACCCACCACCCTCGGTATATGGGGCCGGCGCCCTACCCACTGAGCCACAGGTGCCATGCATGGGTTTTTTTTTTTTTTTAAGACAGAGTCTCACTTTATTTCCCAGGCTAGAGTACAGTGGTGTCCTACCTCACAGCAACCTCAAACTCTGGGCTCAAGCAACTCTCCTGACTCAGCCTCCCAAGTAGCTGGGACTACAGGCACCGGCCACCACACCCAGCTTATTATTATTATTATTATTATTTGGCTGGGGCCAGGTTTGAACACGTCACCTCCTGTATATGGGGCCGACACCCTATTCCTTGAGCCACAGGTGCCACCCCACACCCAGCTTACATTTCTATTTTAGTAGAGAGTAGTAGAGAGTAGTCTCACTCTTGCTCAGGCTGGTCCAACTTCAGAGCTCAAGCAATCCACCTGCCTTGGCCTCCCAGAGTGCTAGGATTACAGGGGTGAGCCATTGTACCTGGCCAACATACATTTCCTTTATAACCAGAAGTTGTTCTTTACTTTTTTAAGGGGTAAATGCTGTCATCTTGGGGAGCTCAGAGAGCCATGCTGGAGGGGAAGGCAGGCCAGTAAGCAAAGGACTAAAACAACCAGTCTGGGTGCGAGTGAGGCCAAATAAAGATGGGGAGGAAAGATGGGCTCCAGGGGAAAGCCCTTAGGTGGGAGGCTGCAGGGGAGGAGGAGCGCTGGAGCTGGGCCCTGGGGCCCTCAGGGACAGGCAGACACTTGCCACTGGAAATGAGATCAAGGAGGGAGGGAGGGCACAGTATCTGAAAGTCACAGAGGCAGCAAAGAACAAGCCAGCGTAGGGATGGGGGACAGGCCCTAGGGGAGGCTGATGGCCAGAGTGGTGATCAGCGAGCTTGGAGCTTGGAGCCAGGTAGGCTGAGCCCTGCATCCCAGCCCTCACCGCTCCCCTCTCTGTTAGAAGCCCTGGTGTCTGAGAAACTGGGTAGAGAACTTAGGCTGGAATCTCAGGCCCCAACATTCTGCCACCTAGCTCTGTGACCTACCTAGGCAAGTCAATTCTGTGAGCCTCGGTTTCCTGTAAAGTGGAGATCCTGGTTTCTGCGACACAAATTGATACTCGTTCTGTGATGTTCCGTAACAGGTTAAGTGGTGCCCAGGGGCGTTTGCTAAACCTGGTTGTTGGGACTTGGAAAGAGTTTTAATGTTTTATGGGAGGCGCCTGTGGCTCGGTGGGGAGGGCAAACTGCAACAACTAAAATAGCCGGGCGTTGTGGGGGCGCCTGTAGTCCCAGCTACTTGGGAGGCTGAGGCAAGGCAATCGCTTAAACCCAAGAGTTAAGGTTGCTGTGAGCAACCTCACATGAGTGACGCCACAGCACTCTAAAGAGGTCGGCATAGTGAGACGCTGTCTCAAAAAAAACACAAAAAACTCAGTTGCAGTGCCACATAGGAAGGAAGCCTGGGTGTTACTATTACTGGCTGAGTTTTGCGACTGTCCCCCACCCCACGCCCCCTGCTTTCTCCTAGTCTCCCGCAGCAGACTCACCATCTCTCCATCTGGGCAAGTGAGGGCCACCAGAGGGCGCACATCGCACCTTCACCCCCAGGATCGTGCTGGGTCTGGGGGGCCAAAAGCGGCTGGGCTCCTCCTCTGGCCCTCGGTATTTGCTTTCCGCTTTGTGTAACAAACCTCATTTATCCCCAGGGACTGTTTTCTTTCTGGAGGCTTAGAGGAACTTGTAACCTGAACAACACTCCTGCCCACCACCTCCCCTTAGACCCTACATCTTCATCAGCTGATCTTGAAGAGGGAGAAAGGCAGAGAGAAGGTCTCTTCTCAGGTGGGGACGGACTCTAGGGAAGGAGACTTTTTAGAAGTCGCTGGAGTTGGCTCGGCGCCTGTGGCTCAAGCGGCTAAGGTGCCAGCCACGTACACCTAAGGTGGCAGGTTTGAATCCAGCCCGGGCCCGCCAAACAACAATGACGGCTGCAACCAAAAAAATAGCCGGGCC